GCAGCAGTAGTTCTAGGTTAGTATTACTCGTGGCGGGCTCGAGGTTAATGGGTAACAATTTCAATTTGAAAGAGCTAGATAGAAAACTGGTTTCTAAAGCGTCCTTCAGATACTACTCTCGGACGGTTGACCAAATCCTGGCTGGGCAAGGACAAGTAGCACATAAACAGGAGGATAATATGACTGGGACACAATGGCTGGAAATTGTTTGGAAAGGAGGGGATGGTCACATCAAACTCTTACATCCGACAAACAAAGAAATTCGTTCCCAATACATCTCTTACTGCACGGAAGGGTTGTCTACCTCGGGCCACTAGGGTATCCAACAGTCGTGCTCTGGAGGCGTCATTACCAAACTGCGTGATCGATGTCATCATAACCGGTTCTGCACCTACATATAATGCTGTCAACGAGCTTTATTTTGTAGAGATGGGCGACTAGCGAGTAGTGGTTGGACATAAGTCTTGACATCACGCGAATGAATCCCCGACTTTCATCCAGACCTTTGAACCACGCTCTCGAAGAAACATTTGGAATAATGGAATGTAACCATCGCCTAAGAGAATTACTTGTCCAATCGTTTTGACAACTTAAAAGAGAACTCTGTCGTACTAATGGGAAAAATTCATCATGTGAAATTTTTCTATCATAAATCTCGCCTTTGCGAGAGAGTCTACCCATTGCCTGGGATTGAGCAATGTGAGGGGACCATCAGTAATCATATATGATCTTTCTACCAGCAAACTCATCTGCTCCCTTACCTTTGAAAGGAAATAAGATGAGTGCCTACCTTGTTTCATCGACCGAATAGCCTCAATCGAACTAAGACTATCCGATAAGATGAAGTAATGGTCTTATTGAAGACGCCGAACCCAGTGGATCCATCAATGCGTAATCCATCAGTGAAGAATCTTCTACTGCAATTGACTTGTTGGTATTTTTCATAAAAAAAATACAGAGAATTGAGATAGGTGGAAGTTGATCTGGAACTCCTTGAATAGCCTGTTTCATGGAGAGATCATAGTCAATAGGGGAACTGTAGTTAGTAAAGCATACACGAGGGGGGTTATAGCACGGAAGGCTAATATCCGATGACATATAATTAAGATAGATTCGCACGAATCTAAACTGGAGGCTCAAGTCGAGCATTTCTTCGAAGTTTTCAATCACAAGGTTGTTACTGACACTACATTTAATAAATATTCTTGATGAGAGCTCCCTGAAACGGTTCTGCAGGTGTTTTACTCCCGCTAGAACCTCTAGGCTCAAATTCTGTGTTGAATGCATACTGCCAAGGGCAATACGTAAACAACGATATTGAATGCGTTCCAATTTAATTAGGTGGCATTTTCTTGCTGAGAGGATGCAAAAAGAGCCATACTCAAGAACTGAAAGGATAGTCGTTTTATACAGTTTATTTAGGTCTTCCGGGTGAGCACCCCACCATGTCTCGGAAATTGATTATGGAAAGTTGATCCCTTGTTGACACTTTTGTTTCAAATACTTAGTATAGGTACTCCAAGTGCATTTCGAATCAAATCAGACTCCAAGGTATTTGAAGGCTAAAGATTGGATAATGTCTCTGCCCAAAAGATTTAGACGCAATTGGGCTGGAAACCGCTTCCTTATCAGTGTTGGGAAAATATCAAAAAATCAAATCTCATCAACGCCCAAGATCACGCTTGATTTTCGTAGACAAAAACCAACAAGCAAACAACTGTGGTTGATTTTGCAAGCTGTGATATCGCAGCTCGGAATATAAAGCTAATGAAACTCACCAACTGCAAATCTCACCAAACTGTGGTGAGATTGAGTTTAATGATTTTTGCTTTACACCCGAATGCAACCAAAACTTCCATATCGACTTGCAGCAGTCCCTTCGCGTCTGCCATCGGTGAAGATTAAAAAGAGATAGCAAACTATGCTGACTCTTTCTAAGAAAACGATGTGCAAGGGAATCATTTTTGTGTCGAGTCAACTCTCAGTTTGATGTTTGCACGTTGTGAATAGTCTCGCAATATGATAGGAGCTTGTAAAATCAACAGCAAGCATGATATTTTGTTCCAATATCACGCGTGATATTGCGAGCCCATGAGAGCGGCAAAATATCAATTCATTTCTGATTTTGCCCACACTGTTTCTTATAAACACTACCTATTAATTTGTTAGTGGTGAGATCTCGATCCCTAATCATAACAGTATTGAAGTGGTACATGAAAATTCTCGCAACGACCGAATACCACATGACCTTGTCCATTAACCAGAAACACTTCGAATTGAGCTCAGGTTTGCTTCAGGACGCTAGAAAAAAAAAAATCGAATTTATATGATTGATCGCGAATATCTCGCGATGGGATGTTTTTTACAAAAAATACTTTCAACAAATTTTCGGTTTTTTTTTAATTCTCTATTGAAAAACCGAAATGCGTTATTTTGTCATCAGAAAACGAGGCGTCTCCGTGATGGGAACAAGTGGTTTCCCTAACACAGTCGCCGAATTTTGATACCGAGCACCTAATCCTACGTCAAATCTACGGTTTTTTCTTGGATTTCAACTCTTACTGTTGTTCTGTATTTTATAGTGATTGAACTTGAACTTGCTTTATTTAAAAAAAAAAAAAAATAATTAATTTACACGCATTCTTGTTTGCCCAAATTTTGATCGGAACAACCTTTACTAGTGATAAAATTAATAATATTATGACTAAAACATTGAAGGTGGCTAATTTTTCCTCACCCTGTATGGTAACGGAGGTATTGTGGACCGCTTTAGGAAGTATTTATACAATTTCTCGAAAAAAGTATAATTTTGTTACAATTCATCAGGTCATTAAAAAAAACTGAATGTTTTCGTCAAAACAACGGAATTTCACAAACAACTAAGCAGGAAATATCACATAAAATCAAGACGCTTTTTATTTTCTTTTGGATCACCAATAAAACATATGTTAGCCCATTTTTTCTACTCCAAGCCGCTTGTGGAAACATATTTTGGCCCAGGTTTGAAATATATTTTGGACCACCTGAGTTCGCTGGTTTGCGGGCATGGCAAAAATATATTTTCTCTAGATAATATCAGACATAACATTTGATAACGGCACAAAAGCATTTGTAAACAAACTTTCTAAGGCCCTTTACACGCGAACCAAAGTACGTTCACGCAAACCAATACCACTTTCGGAAAGGTGATAGTTGCCCCTATCCGATGATGTTGGTTTGCGTGGGCGCACTTTGGTTCGCGTGTAAAGGGCCTTAGAAAGTTTGTTTACAAATGCTTTTGTGCCGTTATCAAATGTTATGCCTGATATGACGAACATATTTTCGCCATGCCTCAGATCACTATTTTAGCACATTTTATCGCTTCTTCGAGCTAAGAAATGGTTTCAATCAGGATTTAATTGACGCAATAACCATATTTACTTGTTGAAAATGTAAACATTTATCAATAACAACTCTTGAAAGTTGGGTTCAATTATTCCAATTCTATTGATTTTGGACCGATTCAGCACGAGTGTGAAAATGCATGAGTATATTTTCAATTTACTACAGTTAAATGGAACATTTTACTGAAAACAAACATGGAAGACACTAATGAGTGGAATAATTTTCCAGTCACTTTCACAATATGTGATAAAATTTGTGGGCCAAAATACATCCATTCCCCTATACCTTCAAATGTATTAAAAGTGTAGACATTTCGTCACATTTGGCATTCCTGGTCAGGTGATCCCATGTCTCATTGACTTAGGTAACAATCACGTTTTGGTGAAATGAATCAGGAAATGGTCCATGATATGATCTTTTATCTCCATAGAGTGGATCGATTACTACATTTCACACGTATGATCCGTTTTCTTCAAAAGAATGCAGCGAAATTGTCTTCAAGCCAGCGTATCCGGATTTTTCCATTATGTCATACATATTTGAAAAAATTTTTAGCCTTCATGACTAATTAAAATATAAAGTTATAAAAAAAAGTAGCATGACGAGTTCAATACATTGTTTTGATATTGTTGTTGACATAAATTTGTTAACTTTTATTGTAGAAAATTCTGAAATTTTACGACCCCCAAGCATTCAAAAAAATTTCAATAATCTACCGATAAATTAATCATTAAAAATACCGCATTTCAAAACTGGTTATTTATAGCTGAGTCCCCTGCTATTTTTTCACAGCTATCAATATGGGAAAACAAATCATTAAATCCAAATAGCCCTTCTTCATCATCTGCCTGTTAGGACGAACCCACACAACTGGATCAAGGCCGTAGTTCGCGTGACCACACGCATAAAAAAAAGCAGTTCAAATCCCTTACGCCCCAAACAACAACGGTAGAAAACCTTCAACTTATTTATGTTTATACCGACCCTTGTCTAAAATGCACGCTACGTCTTCTTCAACGTATAAACAAAAACAATCAAGCGACTTAATCAAGAAGCGTAAATCTTTTAGCGGTTTGGTAATCATGGCAACGATCAGACCGCACGCACTCACCCGCCCGTCTTGTTGTCTGTCATTATTCTAGGATGAAATGGCAATTTACTATTCCCTTCTTAAGTTAACGTCCATTGTTCAAAAGAACCTGCGAGCGCGCTTTCAAATGCGATGAATCACTGCCGTTCGGGTTGTTTGTTAAATTGACCGGAAAGGAACACACATCAAGACAAAAAAAACATACTCAACTCAACAGCTCCGTGGTGAGCATAGCCAACCAAATTAATTGGTGGCGCATCATTTGATGTATTTTACCAGTTTGTCCCCCTCCGGCTCCGTCTGAAGCAGAACGCAGAACGTTCATTGAGTGCAAAGCGAATGAATGGGTCGAGGGGAAGGATCTCAAATGTTTATTCTGTTAAATTAGGAATAGAAGCGCGCACGAATAATTAGACATGATTTTGCGGCTTTCCGTGAATGGACAGCGGGTCCTAATTGATTTATAGCGCCTGCCTAAGCTGAAGGGGGCACGTGATTTACGAGTTCAATACGGAGCGCTACTTACCATCATAAGATCGCCGCTTTCCAGATGCTTTCGCATCAGAACGGCAGCCATGTTCTGCTGATCTTGGTAAATGTTACCAAATGAGTCTTCTTCTGCTGGATTCTGGAATGGGGAAACAGGAAGAAGAAAAGAATACTTAATTAGTGATTTGATGCGCTTTGCATGAGGATGTGAACGATACATAAAATGTTGATCGTGAATCAATCAATCAATAAAATCGACCCCATAAAATTGCTGCATTTCATTGTTGTCTTAAGTAGCAATCCAATTCGCAATCAGCTCCGAACTACGAACCCGGACACCCACTTAACTAAGCGCATTATCACCCCGGTAGTGGAGCAAACACATTTCGATTACTTCATCGATCCAATTTGAAACTCTCATTCGGCAGCACCAGATGAGAAAGATATCCGTAACACTGTGCAAAGTTGCTTTCCCATCATCTGTTCAAACAACCGCGTGTCACCTCCACTGGCACTGTCGAATGACACCACACCGTGTCAATCTGCACTCTAGCCATTGTTGCCGGCAAGTACAGGTGGTTAGTTCCGTCGTCGTCGTGGTCGTTAGACCGTCTTTTAATAAACACATCCGCCTACGATAGGTGACCGTGACAGCTAAAAGCGACCATGTCTACTTGCCAGGTACCTAAGTTGCAGTGTGGTGTCATGTTTTTTGCCCAAGAAAATGTATGCCCCCGTTCAATGAGCTTTCCGTGGCGATTTATGTCGTGTCATGTAATACAAATCCGAAGCCATGCGCGGATCGTTACGGATTCGGAGCTGCTGCTGCAGCAGTTCAAAAGAGCGTCGAGTTTGAAGGACAGGTTGCTGGGTACTTTTGCGGTGAACTTTTACCGTCGGTTGTGACCCGGCTGCTGGTAAAGACAGTTGGGTTTCGGAAGCTGATAGTCGTGACTGGCGAAAACGGTTGATCACAGTGCAGTACAGCTACCGAACGGTAGCAGTTATTTAATCGTTGACGTTTAGGGGAACTAAGGATATGCGAAAGTTTCAGTTGAACTCTTTCCAGACAATGAACTGATGAAGATGATGATGATTTTGATGTTTGTTCTAGCATTTTATTTACGGCAACACTTTAAATTTATGAGAGTTCAAGCACATTCATCATTTAGGGACGTTGAACCTCGTTTAAACACATTAGGGTGGGTCATTATGATCATTGTTTCAGAACAATGTGTTTTTGGTTCCATTTGGGGTCCCAAACAACTGTTGGGGATGATTGAATGTAACACGGCCTTCCTTCTTCTTCTTCTTATCATTTCAAGCTTATTGCATATCGCATATTAGCTTATTGCGTGCTCGCAACTTAGTGTTCTAGATGCACTTCCACAGTTATTAATTGAGAGCTTTCGATGCCTGTACCATTTTTGCATTGGTATAATTGTGTGGAAAGTTCAATCATACTTCTATGCCCAGGGAAGTCAAGAAATTTGCCAACCCGAAAAATTCCTAGACCCAACCGGGAATCCAACCCAGCCACCTCCAGCATGGTCTTGCTTTGTAGCTGCGCTTTTACTTTTTTGGATTTTCATCCCTAGAGGCCACAATTTTGCTTGAACCATGCATCTAACCAAGTAAAAGTATAGTCCAGGAGTTACTTAACAACTTTGCCGAAGAAAACACGGTTCTAGAGTACCTCTAAAAAAGTTATATCTATTCAATGATCCATGTTTCGAATTAAATGGCAAATATCACTTTTCCTGCCAATACCGCCGGCGTACCAATGAAAGTCAGTCTCCAAACTGAAATAATTTCGGAGTTGATTAACTTATCGATTTTGTATATTCAGATGAATTACTCAAAGCAATAAATCTATCTCATATGCGTAGTTGGAGAGGGGGTAGGGGGTCACACCCTCATTCATATCAATAGAAGTAAAGTTTCAAACTGAAATAACTTCGGATTTTCTTATCTTATCGATTTGGTATGCCCAGATGAATTATTCAAAAAAATAATCTCAATCTCACAGGCATAGTTAGAGATAACTCACTCATATAAATGACATGAAATGTTTATTGAATTTAATAAGCGTAGTTGGGGTCTCCCTTACGCCCCCTCACTTATATCAATGAAAGTAAAGATAAGGGCTTAAATAAATTCGTATTTTCCCATCGCTAGACTTAAGCGGATGGGTTATTCAAAAACATTTGCTCAATCTCATAAAAGCAGTTTGAAAGTTAGCACCCCCATCTCCTTCCCTACTCTTTTTGGCTGTAATATACAATGTCAGACATATTCTCACAAATGTCATTGGAACATAATGATTATATTTCAGTTTCATATATTCTACGATTTTCAGGGTACTCTTTCAATGCTGTTTGATCTTACTTCCTTCACTTAAGGGTCCTGTACTTATACCACCGGAGTTGCAAAGGACCAACGTGAAAGACTTCCATCCTGGGCGGCTGCTCGCTTTTGCCTTGACCTGGGTCCAGGTCAGATTCCTATCGACTTGCTTTATTTCCTTGTTGAGGCTTCTCCAGCGCTTGCTTGCAGATTCCGTTTCCACCCTTTCGAAGTGTGTGTCTGACCCACTTCCACTTTCGCTCTCGAATGTCTGTTGCTATCGGCTTATGATGACATCGACGATAGAGCTCGGCATTCGAGATCCAGTTGTGAGGTCACCATGCACGAATTATATACCGCAGGCATCGGTTGATGAAGACATCTCGTCTCGCTGGCGTATGTCAATCAGATTTCACGTTCGAGTTCAAAATCCGGATTGATCTCCATACGTTTCGTAAACTCGCAAAGGCAGCCCTAGCCAGTGCGCAAAACAGTCAGGTTCATTGAGTCATTTTGATATGAATATGAACTGCCATCTGCCTTATCATTCACTGCCTCGTGAGAGTCTGAATGATTCAGAGGTAAACGAGTCACTGACAGCCGAGCACTCAGTCAGAAGCTCAACCAACACGTTTATTCTGCCGTGATGGTACCCAATATTTGTTTTGAATGACTGAGCGTACATTTTCTATGGAAAAATGACTCAATTACATGCTGTGTGAGCGAAGGCAAGCGGTGTGCGTCGCCTGCTCGTGAGTGACTGAATGTTTTTGTTGGCTCTTTCATTGCTTCGTCCTTTACCGTTAGGTACAAACGGTCTGCACAGAGCAATGGATTGAATAGTGCAGTGCTTTCACACTCAGCCTAGGCAGTCAATAATTTTAAGCTTGGTTCGTGCATCTACATCCCAAGTAACAATTTTGGTTTTATGAGGGTTCTGAAGACCAAGATTTAGATTTGTAGAATGCTATAAAACCTCTATAAAGCTTGCAATGTTACTTGGGATATGCCGCTCTGGGTCCCACCGTCCGATGCTATTTGGCTGCCAAGATATTGGAAACTTTCGACCTTCTCCACAGCTTGCCCCGCTACCGTAAAGTTGGAAGTGTTGCCCGTGTTAATATCCAACGATTTGGTCTTGTTGACGTTGATGGTGAGACCCGCCGCAGAGGAGCGTTCGGCTAGGTCATTGAGCTTACTCTGCATATCAGAGCGCCGTTGTGCTAGTAGAGCAACACCATCAGCCGAAGTCGAATGCTCCATGACAGCCCACGGTTCGGTACACGGTCTATTGCACCCATGAGGAATAGTAGCGGTGATAGTAAACATCCTTATCTCACACCACCGACTATCCGAATAAGGTCAGACAAGGCTCCGTTATGCAGAACTCTGCACGTGAAAGCCTGATACTGCGCTTCGATGAGGTTGACGATTTTATCCGGGACTCCCTTGCGTCTCAGAACGCCCCACAGATTCTCGTGATTGAGTCGGTCAAAAACTTTTTCGTAGTCAATGAATACCAAATAAAAGGACTTTTGGAATTCGTTGACCTGCTCCAGGACGATGCAGAGCGTGACAATATGGTCCACACAAGATCTTCCGGTACGGAATCCTGTCTGCTGCCGCCGGAGAGTCGCGTTGATCTTCTGCTGTATCCGATTCAAGATAACTATGTACAGAACTTTGAGAACAATACACAGTAACATGATGCCTCGCCAATTGTCGCACATAGTCAGATCCCCCTTCTTTAGGACCTGCACTAAGACGCCTTGCATCCAGTCGACCGGAAAAGTCGCGGTGTCCCAGATATTACAGAAAATTTGATGCAACATTTGAGCGGATAGCATGGGGTCAGCTTTGAGCATCTCTGCTGATGTGTGATCGACCCATAGAGCCTTGTTGGATTTCATGCTTCGGATAGCTGAGCTGATCTGTTGCAGTGATGGGGCGGATCATGCCGAGATGTTGATGGCTGGTTGGCCGTCGAAGCTTGAAGAAGTTTTTCGAAGGGCTCAAACTAGCATTTCAGCTGGTCAGTGGGGTCGGTTAGCAACTATCCAGTCGTGTCCTTCACTGGCAGCCTCGGGTTTATCCTTGTTCCACTCAGGCGTCGTGAGATATCGTAGAGGCTATCTTCCCTTCGTAGGCCAGGGAGTTCACCTACGCTCGCTTGTCCCGTCTGCAAAAGCGCTTGACTTTCTTTTCTAGAGCCGAGTACCGTTGACGAGCTTCGTTCTTGGCTCCTCTGGTTCTCACCTGCTCTATCGCGACTTTTACTTTTCTACGCTCCTCAATCTTCCGCCAGGTTTCATCAGTGATCCACTCTTTCCTGTTCGATCACCTGAAGCAAAAATTGCTGTTGAACTGGGTATCTGGTGGATTTCTCGACAAAGTCAGAAATTAGCTTCACCCCTCGTTCAGGAAGCAACTCGTTGTTTCGCATACTCTAAACGTTTACCGGTTTTCGCATGAAGTCGGTCGAAATTTCGAAAAGGAATCAGCACTGTCAAAAATGACGTTTGACTTGGGAGTCCAACTAAAACGTAGCCCACTTAACGATAGCCCAACGAGCGAAATCCGACTGTACCTGTGCCTGAGACGAAATTCGTGAAGACAGTTTTTGTTTTCTCTTGCTTTTGGTTTTGGACGTAGGACTACTCCAGTGATTTATGTGTAAAGGAGGCCTTAAAGGCAGTTTAATATTTCAAATTATAGCTTTGTATTGAAATTTACAATCTTCCAATTGCTAATAATTCAAACAACATCACATCACTAGCAACTGTACAGAAAAGT